AGTTATAATACCCTTGTGCACAAGTGCGCTCGGGTATAAAAAGAAGAAACACAGTGCAATAAAAAAAAACACTTTTTTCAAGTTAAACTATTACGGACCGCTGACAGACACAACCCACTTGCATCGCACTGTACTAGGCCTCGAGTGTGGTTAGCTTAAGTTTTGTTGTTTTTTTCTTTTTTCTCACACAACAAAAAAAAAACGTTAGCCAGCAATAATTACAAGCCAAACAGCTCACTGGTCAAGACAAAATCATAACAATGAATGAGTTGTGAAACAAAAAAAAAAGCTTGTAAAAAAGTAGAAATGCGTAAGCCACATACAGCGAAGAGTCTCAATAGACAATCNTGAATTCCACAGATGAAATCTAGTTCCCTTTTTGGTCCCTCCTTGATTAGTTCCGTACCAGTTCTAAATTTGTCACCTTAGATATAAATTTATATTGAAAAGTTTTTGTGTTTGTTGGAACTTACCACATTTTCTGTGACTAATTTGAACTTAGTTAATTTCACTGAATAGAAACGATTAGAAATAAAACATGATGGAGATCAAGTAATTATCGAATTGGTTCATTTTGCCAAAAAAGACCCAATACTAAACTACTAATTTAATTCACTAGTTCGGCTGTTTCCCTACTGGGTTCGTACATGTGTCTGTGTCAACGTACGAACACTTTATCATCAGTGGCTTTTGGTCAATAGCATACGCTGGCTGTTTGCTGAACGCTCGCTCAGTGGTAGCTGATGAACTCACAGCTCAAAACATACACAACGATCATATGTTTTGCATTTTGATTATGTCTATAAAAAAGCCAAAAACACTAAAGCGCAACAACAGTAAAAAACGTAGACAGTTATGGCCATGACAATGATAACCGTTGCCGTGCTTTTTTCTTTTTGTTTTTTGTTTTTTTTTCGTTTGTTGCTCTTATTGCTATGGTGCCGAATATGCGTGAAGAGAGTGTGGAAGTCATAGGTTGAGTGCTGTGATAGACGCCATAAAAAAGAAAGTATTTTTAAGTTAGCGGCACAGGTGCTGATTGATGAGTTTTAGATAGCGTGGCCCAGCATAAATGTCTACAAGCATAAATTTAATTATAAGTATCATAGGACACTGTAACGACAACTAGTAATTGATTTACAACGGTTTCAATTTACTTATAGATGGTACATATAAGTAATTAATGAGAAATTTATTTAGTTGCAATCAAGTGTCGAAGAAGACTCCATAAATCTGTGATCTCGAAATGTGCTTAGTTTTTATAGTGTTTCAATTAAAAGTCGTATTCTGAATAGGCAAGAGATTAACTAATTAATTACTTAATTAATCCCAACGGTTTTTTACCCTCTTTTCCCGTCCAACCGACACGACGGGCGCTGTCCGCATGACGTACGGAACTTTTTTTTTTTGGTTGTTTGGTGCCGAGTAGTGGAAACAGGAGTTAGTTAAGTGTCGATATCTAAAACTTGGTTAAATGTTCTTTGTATAAGAGAAGTGAAGTATAGGACGATACGAATCTTTGACAGCAATTATTTGTGATATTTTAATGTTTGTTTTTTTTTTCAGACACAAATTTTGGCAAACTAAGTCACATGGTGATACTCAGTTGAACAATACTTAAAAGTGATCCAGATTGATTTTATGAGAATTGTCATTCTGCAAGAAATGTAGTGAGGCATTATTTTTCATATCGGAAACCATATCTGGTGTCACACTTTCGATTGGCTTCAAATTTTTTATGAGTTCTATACATGAAATAAGCTAACTCGTATTCAAGCAATTTTTCCCCCTTTTTTCGTCAGGGATATAATTTATCAAAACGTTTTGCTCATCGTAGAGACTTCATCTTAACGATCATGCATCCCAAGGGAAATTAAAAAAAAATCGACAAAAAATGCAATTGCCTATTTGAATATGATAACGTCCCATTGGTAGCTATAAGTATTTTCTTTTTATAATCAGCTCTTTTTTGGGTTCTTTTAATTGGTGCATGTGTATATGTTTTTTGGAAAGTGCATCGATTTACGAGCGAAAACAAATGTTTCTTTACCACAAAAGTTATACAAAAGAAGGAAATAAATTTTGGTGCGACATATGTTAAAGCTTTTTTAAAAGAATTTTCGTTTGTGCTGATTACGAATGCGTAAACAAAAAAGTTCCCATCAACTCGAAATTTTGAGAAAAACCTGCCTTTGGCATCGTTTGAAAATCTCTAGCAAAGAACAATAAGCAATCCCTGAAAATACCATAAAAGAAGGTTGCTTATAGCCAAATATTTTGGGATACAAAATTTACTACCCAGGACTATTAGGTAATTATACAGAAATGAAATTTTCTTAGTTTTAATTAAATTACAAGTAGAAAATTCTATCACCTTTTATTTAATTGTGGTAGGTACTCCAACTTCGCCAAAATCAGTCCGGGTTTGTCAATAAATGACTATAAGTGACCTTCAGTTCGAGGTGCAGGGATGGGATTTTCTAAGATTTGTGTCAAAAATGCAAGCTCTAATTTAAGCCTAAGTGGAAGGTGCTACCGCTTTTTTTCTTTACTCGATCTACTCAAACATTGACAAAAACGTGATTATTTGACATTGTGTCCCCTGAAGCTGATGGGAGCTGATAGTACCTACGGACTCAACACCGAAAAATCTATCAAAAATAGCTTTAACATTTGCCGCACCAAAATTGGTGATGCCTTGTGTAGTAGATATAGCTCTTTCGTTTAGAATCTAAACTTTATATCTAAAAAAAAAATGTTAGTGTTCCCCTGCAACTTTTTATTGAAGCTTTTCTTCTGTCGAACTTCGTTTTTATTCTACTGTCACCAAGCAACCAAATTGCTTACTTTATATATATATATATATATTTATGAACTTAGCTTTCCATTGCATTTACAATTTATGTACATACATATTTTGAATTACAACCCGTAAGCTGGTAAATTTCAACACAACTACAAATGTACGTGATCATATCGTATCGCTAATGAATTTCTTTCGAATTCAAAATTTTAAATTAGTTTGTTAATTAGTCATATGCGACAGCGTAAATATTTATGCATATTTATGGTATGTCATATAATACCTTATATGTTTGTACATATGTATATGTGATACTACTTATACATGAATTAATCAAATTTTGTCACATCGCAATGGAAATGAAATTAATTTTGAAAAGCTAAGCACGCATTGTGTGGCAAGTGCAGGTGAAAACGAAAGTGGTATTTTGTATTACTCGTAGCGTGAACTCATAGCGTCGCACAACGCTGCGCAAAGCCAGTGAAAAATCTAGCTCGTAGCTTAAGTTTAATATTTGGTGAGAAATTGTGTTAGTGCGATAAA